GCAAGCCACTGAGAATGCCTCTTTATGTTGTGCAGTCTGGCATGGAGTTGGCAGAGTACAAGGATGTTCTCAGTTGAGCTTGAGTCTGTGTGCTGTGGGGACAGTGTTGGATGAAGACCTGGGAATCCTGGATTTAAATCCTCAGACATGATCTTGGACTAATCAGTGTCTTTCAGCCTAATTCACAGGATGGCTTTGCAGATAAAATATGAAAGGAGAGAGTCCCATGGGTTATATTCAGTACTAGTTTAGCCTGTCCCATTAATTTCAGTGTGTCTAATCCTAATAGGACTCACATTGGATGCAGCCTACTTGTGCATACCTGACCTTGGAGGAAGAACAGAAGAAATGTATCATAAATAAGTAATGATGGTACATAGTAGGAAAGCCAGAAGATAGCTAAGCTGTGTAAAGTTTCGAAGACTAGCAGGGCAACCCTGCCTGCTACTTCGGAGAGTTCAATGCCAGAGCCTCTGACAAAGCCGAAGCCTTTCAGATCATGCAGACAGGGCTATGGCAGAGAGAAAGGAGTAGTATTTCCATCTTTTTCCACTTCTCCATCTTTCTTAGCAAATTCTTTCCCATTGAAAACTATGGAAACAAACTGATCAGTGTCAACTCCAGACTTGGCATGCATCAGGGAGTACTCAGGCTTTTACTTCCTATTTTACTAAAACTCTGATATCCTCCCAGACAGTTACTGGGTTGTGCAGTGTTCTGACTGTACCTGCATCAGGGAGCTTCCTTTGACTGTCACTTTCAGAGGAGACCCAGAAAGAGGCAACAAGATGAAGGGCTTTCCCAGTGGTGGTCCCCACCTGTGAAATGATCTTCCCACTGAGGAATGCTTGGTGCCCACATTATTGTCTTTTTGGTATCAGGTTAAAACTGCCCTCTGCTCTCAGGCATATGAGATGTTTAAGCCATTTTAAATTTTATATATTCGAATTTTACATGGTGTTTTATTGTACCTATACTTATATTGTATTTCTTGTTATTATAGTATTATTGTAATTGTAAGTCATGCAAGGAAATAAAGTAAATAATACTAATAGTTAATTTTGTTTTAATAGATACAATTTGTTTTAATGGTTACCCTCTGGAAATTTTTTCATCTAAGATATTCCCCTGACCAATGAGTCATTTAATGCTATTTTAAATTGATCCAAGGTTTCTGAATGTTCAGGTGGGACCTTGTATCTCTAGCTTCCGAAACAGGGTCCCCATCTGGAAGAGCCAAATTGAGCATTTATGTATTTAGTGTGTGCACTTTTCATACACTGCATGCAGTGACAATAGCTCTACTTCTTTAAATGTGTGTATGCCACACATTTGATATTGTGGATAACACCTTGAAGGGATGGGAAACGCAACAGGCAAACTCGGTGAGCTGCCACCATTTAGATTCTGGTGGCTACTCTTCCTTATCCCAAATGCTACTATGTAGAAACATCTTGTCCTGAGGACGCAGGAGAAGAAAAAGTTTATGCTTGAATTCAAAAGTAAAGAAACTGTAAAAAAGAAAGAAAAGGACAGGCCAACCAAAAAGACAACTGATGCTGCACAATCCTGAGTTTAATTGGTATATTTTCAGCCAACTGGGCTACTCAGTCAAGTAGCAGCCTCATGTTCACTCCTCTCTCCCAATCCCTTTCTGTCTTCTGCCTTTTAGCTTGTGAAACCAAGGCCTGATGGGTGATTTTTGTAAACTGACCTGGACTGCAGAATGGATTAAAAGTTCTTACAGGTGGTGAAGGTCCTGTTCTAAAAGCAAAGGGGCACATGGGCGCTACACTTACTCAATCCCATGGTTACCTCTCATTCTCACTCCCCTTTCCCACCTTCACTTCTGTTCACTTCACAGAATTCCATGAGTCATTCTTCCACTTCATTTCTGGTCCCTAGGCCAAATTCTCCCAGAATATTTGATTCTGCTTTGTTTTCTACTTTTGTGTTCCAGTCACCTATGATTATCAGCATGTCATGTATTATCAGTTTCCTCTTGAACCCCTGCATTGAAATTGTCAGTTTCTACTTCAGCATCTGTTGTTGGAGCACAGACTTGAATGATGGTTATGTTAATAGGTTTACCAATAATTTTGAGCAATACAATTGGTTTGGACTTTGCATTCTAGTCCCTTACTGCCTGCACTATGTCTTGGCTTAGCATTAGAGCCAATCCATTTCTTCTGAGTTTCTCATTTCCAGAGTAAAACACCTTGTGCTTGTTTTTCTGAAAATGTCCCATTCCAGTCCACTTTAGTTTGCTTACAAAGCACTGCAATGTTTAAGTATTCCATTTCTTTCTTTCATGTTTTCCAGTTTGTCTTGATTCACACTTCTTGTGTTCCGTGTCTCAATTGTATGTGTTGGGCAGCATCAGACTTTAACTCTGTGCATGTCAGCAACTAGACCAGACTAGATCATATAGCAATGACACTATATATGCTTGCCATTTGTTCTTCTCCAGTAGCTTCCGACTAGGGTGAGGGGTGGGGCGGTTCTCATCTTCTTGTTTTATTTTGGATTGTTTCATTATAAGGTTTTTAAGGTAAGAAGATTCAGAAGTGGTTCACATTGCTTTCTTCTGTGCAGAATTAATTTGAGACTCACTGTGGTTGTCTGTGAAATATCTCTCACTAGTGTCACTTTCAACTACTGCTGCTGCCCTTCAAGAGTTTCTCCTCCCTCATCACCATTAGAGATATCCATTCTTTTCTGCTGATGTGACCATTGCTTCATAGGAAGAGAACTGCATCTTAGTTTGGTGTCCCCACACCAGACTGGTGTCATCTTTGGGCAGGTGTACAGAGTAGTAGTAGTAGTGACACGTAAGGAAAATGAGAATCGAAAGCCATGACCATTATAATACTTATTTGGACAAATCCTACTGAGATGTATGCTTTTGTCAGATTTTTCAAAAGTACCAAGAGCAAGTGTCTGTCACTTTTTCCAGTGCTATGATGTAAGTGATGTGAAAGTTGCAGCATATTGAGCAGAAAACAATGTACTTCAAAATAAAATTGAAGCAGAATGGGATGTACAATGCATGTCACTTGGACAAATTACATTAAAAAGAAGCATAATATAATTACTGTATCTCTGGCTTCCGCAGAGCTGTTAGCACATGCTCATACATCATAGTTTATCATTAATATATCTAACTAGATGTGAAAACAAGCAGGCAGTAAACATTGTGTCTGAACTCCATATTTAGAAAGAAGGGATTTTGTGTGTACAATGGGATAAAATCCATCTTAAATGCTTTTTCTAGTATTCCAGTTCTGAGCAAAACTTTTGTTCCTATTTTGTTTTCTGTAGTATGTTCTGTTTCTGCATTATTTATTGGCCATTGTCTATCTCAATAAGGCTCTACTAGTTTTAAGGAAACTGCATAGATGCATGCAAAACGTTTCAGAGCAAACTATACATCCTCCTGAGAATGGCATTGTTTTCTTTAAGTCATTAAAATGACAAACAGTGAGTTACTTTAGGTTGTTTTCATGTTAGTCTTTTGAAGGTTCAGATGCAGCACTGATATGTGAATCTCAATTCTGTTACTATCATGTTGTGATCTGCTTGGCAGATTGATAATTATTGGCAGGGGTAGATCAGGCAGGAAAATATTTAGCCATGGGACTTCCTTATCCTTTAGGAGTGCACAACAGATGTTAAGTAGAAACATGAGCATCTCATCTGTGGATGGAACTTTCTACCAGTTGCCATGTCGTGTTCACAGAATTTTAAGGGACAGTACAGACATTGTCATCTTCCATTTTTAAACACCACTCTTGTGTGCATATGCATATACAGTACACATGCAAACAGACCTCTAGAAGAAAAAGTCAAAATAGTGATACATTGGTAACACTAAGAGCTGTCTGCTTGAGACAAATATGTCCTAGCTGCATAGGCTATACGTGTGTCAAGACACAGCAGTAGGCAAGTTTGCCATGCATTCCTACCTTGCTTGTTTACACTATAATGAAAACAGAGGCCATAGTTCACTTACCTTTTTTTGTGGCTTATAAATGTAGTGAGGTAGAATGTATGACCTAAGGGAGATTGTACTGGGAAACTTTCCAGTACCACAAGGGAAATGTGTGCCTGCTTATGTCTGAGATGGCCCTATGAATGTGGAGAAAGATTCACTTAAGTAATGCTGTTTCTGAAACAGTTCAGAATAATCCAACCTACATGCACTCTAACTATAGTCCTGCAGAGGCCTATACTTTCAGAAACATTAGATTATTTATTTATTACCAACTTTCATTCCACTTAGGATTTCAGGGCAGTGTTTAACCGGGCAATACAATAATAAAGCAAGGAAACCTGTACCAATTAAAAGGTTTACGACTGATGGCTGTGTAAGCATTACTTAAATGGGGTACCACTGCTGAAAATGTCCTGTCTTTTGTTATTGATCAAGAAAAACCTTGGCAGGTAAGTATCAGTGTTTGAATTGCATTTGGAAATGAACTAACATTCAATGAAAAAGTTTTAAAACTGGGGTAGTACCCATAAACTTGACTGTATGAATCTAAATTTTGGTGGAAATGTCACCAAATAGAGTGAAAGTTTCTGAGCCAATGGCAGTTGTAGCTATAATGCCTTGCAGTAATCCAACTAAAAGGTTACTAAAGCTACATATAGTGTGTTTGTGTAGTGGCTAAGAGTATGTACTGTAAAACCTCTGGCTGAAATAGTTTAGCTATGAACTCACTCTGACTTTAGGCAGGCTGTTTCAAAGTCACCATCCATAAGAATATCAGATCCCTTCACAACTTGTTTTAAGAGTTAGTGTGTTAAATGTATTGTTTCTGGTTTTGAGAGATGTGGATAGCCAGAATTTATCTTTGACAAGCTTCTCTTTCTCTTTCCAACAGGAAATGTTACTGTAGAAGATTAGTCAGATGCTTTCCTCGCATCACATGCTGTGTCATGTAAGGTTACAAATATGGACCTTTTAATTCAAATGCATGAATAATTAGGCAAAAACAATGGAAGGCACTCATACTGTCCTCCAGTTGCACAAGCCCATTATGGAGCTTTGCTATGTCAGTTTCTATCTTCCAAAGGGAAAAGTCAGGGGATTTACATATACAGGCTGTGTAACTCTAGACGCATCGAATAAACGTTTTCATAATTGCTATCAAGTGAGGGAAGGCTATGAACAGGCAGGATTGAGAGCACAGACCTGTGAAAACATTGGAGATATCTTTTTCAAACAAACAACAACTAAGGATATTCTCACTGAACTGTATAAACTAAATGCTGAGAAGGAAAGGCTCCTTGCTACTCTTCTCAGTTCAACCAACATTCTAGGTGTTAAAATGGGAAATCAGGATGGAAAGCTGCAAGAAGTTTCTGAAAGCCTGAAATATAAAGACGATGACCGCCTACATCCACAAGGGTCTCTTTTGGGATCCATGGAGAAGAAGTCCATTCTGAAAAACAAAAGAAACAGCAAACGGAGAGACAGCATTGAGGACTTCATGAACAAAAAATTGAAAAGAAAGATGCCTGCAGTTTTGGAACGTCCAGCACCAAACTGCAAAGAAATATTATTGGAAAATAACAAATTACATTCTACCAAAAATTCTGCTAATGTTTCCTCTGTTCTTTTTACAAATTCTTATCAGAAGAAGGTGGAAGGCAAAGATGATTTGTTATCAGATGTGAATAAACTGCCGGAAAGATCAAGGAAAGAGTACTTGCTTGAGGACAGTCAAGCAATAGGATCTGATACAGATCTTTCTCTTTCTTTCTCTGAATATGACAATGATGTGTTTGGACACTGTTTTGCACATTCCAATCATAGTCTCTTAGATGATGTAGAGGATGCCCTTAAAGTGAACCAAGTGCAGCAAAGCAGCCCTTTGCAGAACACTTTTCAAGAAACTTCCATTAAAAAACCCAAGGCCTTTGATAAGACTGTGGCATCTGAGGTGGTGCATGGGTATAATCTTGCAGAAAACTGCAAAAGCAAACATAAAGACAAAGACAGAAAAACACAAGATTTGGAAGACCAGCTACAGAATGTTGACAGCACTTCTATAGAATTTGGTGAAAGATCTTATGCCATGAATAACATGAGCAAAGAATCAATGGGTTCTGTTTTTGCTAGCATGATACCGGAGAAAGCACATGAAGGCTGTATTCAACACATTAAAGAAGAACAAGATCATGTTGTTAATGAACGATATTGTTTAGAAGGAGCAATCAATAAAACGTTACTGAAAGTTATACAGAATGATAGATTAGATGACACTGCTGAATGGAAGAGATTCCAGCACATATCAAGCCCAACAGGCTTGATACATGAAAAACGGGCTCCAGTACCCCAAGCGAACAAGCATTTGGCTTTACACCTGCCAATAAATGTGAATCCTGATATTTGCCAGACCAGGACCAACATTAAGCAAGAGGATAAAGGGCCACTGTCTCCATCGTTACTAGCAGTTAGCAATGTTTTTAATACTTCATATCCACCATCCAATACACACAAGCAGATGTCACCTCTTCCTTCTCCTCTGTCTTCAAGCCTGCCTAGCCCACAGCTGCACCACAGAATACTTCCGTTGCCTGCACAGGACACTGAAGAATCAGTGCTTCGTGAGCATCACAATTCAGGTCATTCTGCTACAAAGTTCCCATTGGGGAAAGACTTGAAAGTACAGTTGCATCCCAGTTTTTCTGATTTTGGACATCCTGGACTTTTTATGAGACAACCAGGCCTATATCAGGATGCTAGCGTGGACCGTCCTGAAAAAAGTAGCCCTCCAGAAAAAAACAGTGTTCCACTACAGCCTCAACTACATTCAGGTTAGTCATATTTTAAATATTCTTTACAATGCCAAGATGCAGTACAATCTCCTGGAACCTCTTGTGTGCACGTCTCATGGAGATTTGTGCAAGACAAGCTTCTAGAGAATTGTGAGAAGTAAAAAAAAGTGTTTATAAAGTTATACCTATTTTCTAATTCTTAAGGGACACTCATTTAGAATGAAGTATTACATATTTACATAAGCTTTTTATTTTTAGGTCAAATAAAAGGTTAAAAGTTCTTTTTTATGTAATATTTAAGCTTGATTGTATAGGTCATGAAAATTAAAATATAGAGAGACCATAGTCATTGTTTAATATTTTACAATAACCTTTTTATTTCTTCTATTAAACTTAACATCTATTTATTAAGATGTTTCTTCATTTTTGTATCTTGAACTAAAAAAAAAAGTTAATTTGTCTTGGATCATACATTTGGAGTATAATTTACCACACAACATTTTCTTGTGTATGAATGCCTACATAAATATATGAAACAATGTTGCCTCTGAATGTAACACCATGTTAAGTTGACTAAATATGTGTATGGCATGTCTTCTATACATTTATGTCTTTATACAATTAATATTTTTAAACTTGTATAATATTTTACCTATGTACCACTGCTACTCAGTTTTTTTCTTGATCTTTTTTCTGAAAATAGTGATTATAGTTTCAGTCAAGAGGCTTTTATTTTGGGATCTTTTAACTTTATATATTGTATGGAGAAATATATAAATACCATGTGTTATTTTTTCTTACTCACATTTTTAGATATGCTTACAGTAATAGGAGACAATATTTAAGTCTTCACTGGGATGGTCAGGAACAGTGAACTGGCAAAGCGTCACCACAAAATCGGGTCCCTATATTAAATCTAACTGTGATACTTCAGAATATCTGTGTGCGTGTGTGCACGCAGGCATGCATGCACGCCTGCGCATGCATGAGCAAAGGGGGAAATAATGCCTGAACAATCCTTAACTTTGCAATTTTTAAAAGTTGTAAAATTGCATAAAGGAAATTGTTGTCATGTTTTTTCCCAGTAATGTAATATTATGAGAGTGTTCTGTGGTCACTTGTGGGAGAACAGGGTAGAGATGATAGTCTAAAGATCAAGTATGGAGTTGTATTTAGATGTGTTTTTTTCTGCACAATCATTTTAAGAAACTCTCACTGCTATCAGTAGTGATTATCCATTCTCTGGAGATCTATAAAGTGGTTCCTTTAGCTGTTTTTGCATTCACAGTTGAATCAGGTATGGTGAAATATATATATTTCACTTGATAAAGACAGGTGATCTGAAACAGATTTAAAGTGCTCTGTTAATTAGAGCTGTTTTGTGATTTGTATTATCCTTCTTCTCTGAAATGTTAATTTTTGGACTACACAAAGCTTCACTCTCAGCCGTTTCAGTAATGTTTCTGAAGTTCATGGAGGGCAGTAATGCCAGATTCGTGGCACTTTGTCTTCACAAAATGAGAACAATATGAACATGAAAAATGTTAACATGTCTTCTGCAGTTTTTAACTAAAGTCACAAGACAAGAATAGTTGGTGAGTCAGATACTTGCATTATGATGAATTAACTTGCCCTAATAAACATTGTCATTTTCATTTCTGCAGTCAAGCCTCAGGGCTCCTTAAAAAACAATATAACAATCAGAAGTTGGTTTGGCAGGACAGAAATAGATGCTAAATGTTACATGGATAATAGTTTCATTGTTTGACAGTAATAATGTTGGTTGTTACATACTTTCTGCTTTTCAGGAGCAGCCCTCATTAACAAAAGTGAGTTAGCATATGGCTGTTACTGACTGGAGATGTTCAGTACAATTGTGTGTAAAGCTGTTTTTGCAATTTATTTCCAAATATATGCAACCAAATAATAAGCATACATACTTGGATGTGAGTTCTATTGAAACGTAGCATGGTGTGGCTTCCTACTTGAATATACTTGGTTCATAAATTGAGCTAAAGACGACCATCAAGCTCAGTCTTGTCAGTACACCCTCTGCTCCTTTATGCTACTCAGAAGGAGGAGGGATGGTATATAACCATAGGCAGTTTTTTCTAGCCTAGCTGTATACCTCACATGGATCACCTTGGTCATGCTTGATATGACCTGCCCATCAGCCAAGTTAGCTTCCCAATCTTGCTCCAGATGTCCCTGTGCTATTTGCTTTTTGTATTTTTACCCCACCTTAATATATAAGTTATTATCAAACAAACTTACAGAACACTAGCGCAACAAATATTATTTTAAAAAATACTAAAATATAAGAAATTTCTGTCAGTAGGCCTGCTTATACCCCTGTCGTCTTGTTCCCCTTCCAGTCTGCAGCTGCCTTGTCCCATTTCTTGTACAATTCTCTGCTTGCTTGCATCCCCATTAAAGCATATCCTTCCTGTTTGAATGGGCTGTTTGGCCAGATTCTGTACAATGGTTTCCTAGCATCTAGATTCACCCTATCAATCTGCCTCTTGTCCTGCTGAAACTGGCACTTCACCTTCTTGCATTGCTTGGCTCTATGGCCAGTGCTGCTAGCCAGGCACAAAGGAGCCTGGACTTATAAATTTACTGGATTGCATCTATATCTTGGAAAATATAATTTCCAGTTTTTTATGAAATTTTTTCTACAGGAAGCACTGATACTGGAATGATCAAAGATGCATTTAAAAGTTTGAATGGAAATGTTGCCATGGTGCCTGAGGCACAGTTGTTTGAACAAGTAAATGGACCTTTGATCCAGAAAGGAACAAGCAAGTTTAATAAGAGGAACTCAGAAAATCTTGTGATCAACTCTTACATGATGTTTTTTGGAAAATTCAGTTTATAAAACAAAAAAGCCCTTTTAGGAGCTCTGTGAAAAGAAGACAGCTGATATGCTATTCACTGATTTGGTCTGAATAAGATCCTGTGAGAAAAGGTCTTTTAGTTAACAAGTAACACATGGTTAAGCAACATTTAGTACTGTTGTTTCTATATAAATGTGACTTCCTGGCAAAAGCCAATCATCGAAGTGTAGCAAAATTAATTGAACAGAAGTGAAATTCCCTAAGCAGTTTAAATTTTCATGCTGGTCATAGATTAATAATTCAGTATGTAGTGGACTTAATGACAGTACCAGTTTCCTGTTGTATCAGGATATGCTGTTAAAAAGTTTTTCTTTTAGCATTTTTTACCAATATAAACATACAAGTTTAGTTTTTCTCAGACAACCTGGAGACCCATAAATGGTAGAAAAGGGAAGTAAAATTATTTTACAACATTCAGAACATGCAAAGCAATAACTTCTTTTCTGATATGACATGTTCTAAACTAACCTAGGATTTGAGCCCTTTCGCAGTAAAACCAAGGAGCATTTTATTGCATAAAACATTTATTGTCCACTTTTCTAAAGCTCAAGGCATCTTATAAACATTAAAAACAATTTCCAGAAAAAAGCAGTGCTAATTAAAGATGCTGAGAGCCAATGTGGTGTCGTGGTTAAGAGCACAGGTCTGGGACTCAAGTGATCTGGGTTCTAGTCCCCGCTCAGCCATGCAGCCACTTGGGTAACCTTGGGCCAGTCACAGACTCTCAGCCCAACCAACTTGATAGGGTTGTTGTTGTGGGGATAATGTTGAGAGTAGGAGGGAGAAATTTTGTAAGCCACGGTTCTTTAAAAAAGTAAAAGGCTGGATATAAATCTAATTAAAAACATCAAAAAGTTAACCATACCAAAAGCTAAGTGGAAGAGATGAGTTTTATATTCCGTCCAATTAGCTGACAAAGGAGAGCAATGCATTCAGAGATGGGTTTATCCATCACTGAAATGAAACTGGTGAAGCTTTTTCTCATTTTAGGGAAAGATCTACCTGCTTTATTTCTTTCTGTTGAGCTTCTATTAAGACAGAGCATAAGAATGCATGAATGGTTGTATAATAATAAGCTATTTATTTATAATTATTTATGATTAAATAAATGGTTGAATAAAAGAATGAAAGAATACCATACTTCAATTGGTTCAGAACAGAACTGCCAGGATACTAACAGCAGGTATTCAGATATAACATCAGTCCTCTATTGCCTGCACTGGCTACCAGTTGAAGTCAGGGCCCAATTTAAGGTGCTGGTGATGACATATAAAGCCCTAAATGGCTTGGGTCCTGGATACCTGAAGGAGTGCCTTCTTCCTATCCACCCACTCCTTGAGATCTCAGTCAGAGGTCCTCCTCCCAGAGCTGTCCCTGAAAGAGATAAGGAGGGTGACTACCCATCGGAGGGCCTTCTCTGCAGTGGCACCCCAATTGTGGAGCACGCTCCCCAGAGAGGTTCACCTGGCGCCAACGCTTCTTTCCTTTTGGCATCAGGTGAAAACCTTTATATTCTCCCAATATTTTAATCATTAACCTGCGTTATTTAGAGGTTTTATATTTTAACATCGGATTCTGTGCAACTGTTACTCTTCTTTCTATTTTTATTCTATTTTATTAAAACATTGTAAACCATCCCGAGACACCTGTGATGGGACAGTGTAGAAAAGTTTTAAATAAATAAATGGTGGAACAGAGCTGCAATAAGAACAAATTTGAAATGGCCCTTACCAATACATAGAAATACGAGGCGTGAATATTATTATTATGAGTATTAATTAGAGTAATACAGTATTTAAAAGGGCAAATGTTAAAACGTGCTACAAAATAAAAATAGAAATTTGGTAAGTATGACTTGTCTTTACAAATCACTATCTTTTGGAATATTGCCAGTGCAGTGTTTGATTTGTATGTCTCTTGTAGACCACTGATGAAGATGGAAGTTTGGCCCATGTGCAGTTCTAATATTTTATATGCTCTGTCTCTAATTTTTTTAATAGATTGTCATATGTGTTTTTTCACATTGCTACCACATTTTAGCATCATAACACTTAGGTTTTATATGTTGAACTTTTTATTTGTATATTATGACACATGATAGCGTGGGGCAGGTTACTTTATTTATTTATTTATTATTTCAAT